GCTTTAGTTTGGCTGAAAATATCAGAGAAAACAAGGAAAAAGATTGTAATTAATATGAAACCATATAAAGAAACACATTTTTACAATCCATGAGGTTTTTATTGCTGCTCGTTCATCAATTTAGAAGCGATTACAATAATTAAAAACATCCACAGCAGAATATAATACATAAAATCAGTTGTATAAAATAGGTGATAGTTACTTTCAATCATTGCAGGTAAATAGAACATCTACAGAATCAAGAACAAAACTATTAGAATTAGTTCAAAGGAAAATTATACTTTCAAAAATCTTTAAAAGCAGAAACTTCACACTTCTAGAGGAGAGTCAGATTTCTTCAATACATTATCAAGACAAAGGCTTTTTACCAAGTTAAAGCAGGTTCAAACTGATCAGTAAAAACAACATCAATCCTGTTTATCTTTTTAAACAAACATGTTTCATCATTTTAGAACTTCAATTTACCTGAACTACAGATTCCAGCCTCTAAACTGAGTTCTTTGATGTCCCGTAGTTTAACCCCATAATCCCAGCACCCCCTTTCAAGGTGGCTGGAGCTACTTTGCAACATTAACTGAATTGGCTAAACTCTGATCACTTAAAGCTGACCTCTTAAAAAATCCTCCAAAAACATCAGCAAAACTGAGCAAAGCACATTAAATCTGTTCTAGCTTTGCTTTTATTTTCATCTGAATAGACGTCTGTTTATGGAATATATCCAGCAGATAGCTTATCATTCAGCTAAAAGTTTTTTTTAGTCCACTCACTCTCATTTCATCAGACCAAAACACCTTGGAGGAATCAGTCTTCAGATATTTCTTGGCACAATCTTGATGTTTTGTCTTGTGTGTCTTGATCAAAGGTGGCCTTTTTTCAGCTTTCCTTACCTTGGCCAGGTCCCTGAGTATTGAGCACCTTGAGCTTCTCAGCACTCCAGACATTTTACAGCTCTGAAATATGGCACAACTGGTGGCTAATGGCTTCCTGGCAGCTTCACGCTTGATCATTCTCATTTCATGCAGATTTAGTTTGGGTTTTGTTTTTCAAGACGCTTCTTGCTCCCCTGTTGGCTATTTTTCTCATGAACCGCATGATTGAGCGATGATCCCACTTCAAAAGCGTGGTAATTTCCAAACTGCTGCACCCCTCTGAAAGACATCTGACAATTTTTGACTTTTCAGAGTCTGTCAAATCTCTTTTCTGACCCATTTCGCCAAAGGAAGTTGTCTAATAATTAAGCACACTTTATATAGGGTGTTGTTGTCATTAGGCCACTACCCTTCTCATTAGAGAGATGCACACCACCTGATTAACTTAATTGGTAGTTGGCTTTCAAGCCTATACAGCTTGGAGTAGGACAAAATGTATGAACAGGATGATGTGGTCAAAATAATTATTTTGCCCAATAATTCTGCACACAGTACATATGCTCCCAATCGGTAGAGTTATTAGACAGCATGGGATTAATTTCCACTGTTATGCTGATGATACTCAGCTATATCTGTCTATAAATCCAGATGAAGCTAACCCATTACATAGATTACAGGGCATGTTTTGAAAACCTGGATTACTAGTCCGTCACTTCATTAGGATGGGATTAAACTGATTTCAGATAATAAAGTAAAAAATCTTGATGTTTTTGATCAGGACCAGTCATTTAAATTTAAGTTTCTGGAATCTCCTTCTTTCATCTGAGGAATATTGCAAAAATTAGAAATATCCTGTCCAGGGGTGATGCTGAGAAACTAGTCCATGCATTTGTTACTTCAAGGCTGGACTATTGTAATTCTTTACTATCAAGAAGTCCACGGTGGTGGGCCTCATCAGAGACGACAACGACCTGGACTACGGAGAGGAGGTGGAGCAGCTGGTGGACTGGTGCAAAGATAACAGCCTGATCCTGAACGTAAAAATACGAAGGAGATCATCTTAGACTTCAGGAAGAACCACGCTCCACTGGTCATTAACAGCTTAGCTGTAGAGGTGGTCAGCAGCACCAAATTCCTGGGGGTGCACATCACAGACACCCTCACCTGGATTGTAAACACCACCTGACTGGTCAAAAGGGCACAAAAGCGCATGTTCTTCCTGCAGAGGATGAGGAGAGCCAACCTGCCCCCATCCATCCTCACCACCTTCTACAGAAGCACCGTAGAGAGTGTTCTGACCAGCAGTCTCACTGTGTGGTGTGGAGGCTGCAGCGCCTCAGACTGAAGAAAAGTGAGGAGAGTGGTGGGAACAGCAGAGAGGATCATGGGGGCTCCTCTTCGCTCCATTAAAGACATTTTATCCCCGCTCTGCATTATATTTTATTATATTTTATATATATATATATATAAATATAAAAGAAACTGAAATGTTAGAATTGTAAATTTACTGTCATATGTTTATATTACTGTTTTTATATATTTTTTTTTACTATTTTTCAAGGCTGCACTTAAAAAAAAAAATAAATTGTCCCTGACAGCTGTTCTAAACGAAATTTATTTTTGTTTTACACTTGTTTAAACAAAATGACAAATAAATCTGTCCAAGTAATTCTAAGATTTTTACTAAGTACAAAAATCAGATCTGGTTCCCTTCAGGCTGCATTGTGAACACAGCCATAGTTAGATCCTTCATTCCTCTAGTTGCTTTGTTGTAGCGGCTCTGGACACACACAGTTATAGCAACTGAAACACTTGTTTTATCAGGTGCCAAACCAACTGGGCCAGAATGCGTACCTACATTATTTCCTAATCTAAGTTCTCCAACAAGCAAGGAGGATTTATCCAATGGCCAGATTTGAACACACTCAGGATCTAAAAAGCAAAAAGATTAATGCTGACGGAGGAGCAACAGGAAAGACTGGAGAAGACAAGCTGAATTACATTAAACTATTTATTTTAGATCTTTAGTTTGTCTGAAAATATCAGAGAAAACATGGAAAAAGATTGTAATTAATATGAAACCATATAAAGAAGCACATTTTTACAATCCATTAGGTTTTTATTGCTGCTCGTTCATCAATTTAGAAGCGATTACAATAATTAAAAACATCCACAGCAGAATATAATACATAAAATCAGTTGAATAAAATAGGTGATAGTTACTTTCAATCATAGCAGGTAAATAGAACATCTACAGAATCAAGAACAAAACTATTAGAATTAGTTCAAAGGAAAATTATACTTTCAAAAATCTTTAAAAAGCAGAAACTTTACACTTCTAGAGGAGAGTCAGATTTCTTTAATACATTATAAAGACAAAGGCTTTTTACCAAGTTAAAGGAGAAGTTCGGTTTTTTACACTTTAAGCCCATTTTCTGTAGTGTCCAGGATGAAATCGAATGATCGACACCAAAAGTTTGACAATTGCTCCTGTCTCTGCTTTTTGGCTCATTTAGAATCAACCCCTGGCTGCTTTAGAATGGCTTGCATAGAGCATGTCCGATAATGTCCTTAAAACAACCTTAAACGTTCTTTTTTTTTAAATATGCTACTCACCGGGTCGTCAGCGCTGTTCAATGACGTTCCAAAAAAAGTTTCGTAAAGAAAAAACGTTCCTGTAGTGTTTTATTTAGCATTTTGTAAATCCCATTGAGTTCTGTAGGAATAGTCAAAATTCCGCTGCCACCGGAAACGGAAACTGGGGCCTGTTTACACAGTTGTAGTCTTTTCGCTTCACTCTGTGTACTCCAACGTCGAGAATCAAGAATCCACCTTTCGTATTCCATTTTCAGAGTTTTTTTAAAGTGTTTAACAGAGACATTAGCACCTCGACGTCGGAGTACACAGAGTGAAGCGAAAAGACTACAACTGTGTAAACAGGCCCCATTTCCGTTTCCGGTGGCAGCGGAATATTGACTATTCCAACAGAACTCAATGGGATTTACAAAATGCTAAATAAAACACTACAGGAACGTTTTTTCTTCACGAAACTTTTTTTGGAACGTCATTGAACAGCGCTGACGACCCGGTGAGTAGCATATTTTAAAAAAAGCACGTTTAAGGTTGTTTTAAGGACATTATCGGACATGCTCTATGCAAGCCATTCTACAGCAGCCAGGGGGGGATTCTAAATGAGCCAAAAAGCAGAGACAGGAGCAATTGTCAAACTTTTGGTGTCGATCATTCGATTTCATCCTGGACACTACAGAAAATGGGCTTAAAGTGTAAAAAACCGAACTTCTCCTTTAAAGCAGGTTCAAACTGATCAGTAAAAACAACATCAATCCTGTTTATCTTTTTAAACAAACATGTTTCATCATTTTAGGACTTCAATTTACCTGAACTACAGACTCCAGCCTCTAAACTGAGTTCTTTGATGTCCCGTAGTTTAACCCCATAATCCCAGCACCCCCTTTCAAGGTGGCTGGAGTTACTTTGCAACATTAATTAGCTTGTAGCTGACTAACTCTGAGACTGACACACACTTATATATGTCCCAAATCTTCATGTGAGACTCCTCTATAGATGATCTACTTCATTCTAATATCCATTGACCATAGCTCTAACACTGGGCCAAAAACAGTTGGAGTTTTGGTGGGCCTGGATTCAACAACACATTTGCAGCTGATCTCTTAGAAAATCCTCCAAAACCATCAGCAACACTGAGCAAAGCTCATTAAATCTGTCCTAGCTTTGCTTTTATTTTCAACTGAGGATATTTTAACTCGAGTAAAAGTCAATTTCTGGAATATATTCAACCAATAGTTTATCATTCAGCTAAAAGTTTCTTAGTCCCCAAAATAAAACTTACTCATTTTCAATTATTTTGTTCTGAATAAATTCATTCAGAAAAAGGTTACCCAAACCATGCCAAAATGGCTCAGTAGGTGTCTGCCTGGAATTTGTTTCAATTTAAACATCTATAATTTCTCAATTGCTTGTTTAATGGACAGCAAACTTGCTTCACCTGTAACCAAGATGTTGTTGTACTTTTATTCCCTTCATTACAGAAAAAGTAAGACATTGTAAACATATTTTCTTTTTTTTGTTTTGTTAGGGAAACATTCCTTTTTTTGGCCCTTTAAATCTAATTTACTCAGCCCCAAAATAATTAACTTTAAAATTTTCACATCCACATATTCGCCCAGGACCTGAATATTTACCAGGTTTAATATATATTTAAACTTTATAGCACCTTATCTGCTCTAGTTTCTTCTAAACAGAGCTTTTAATTGTCTTTTTCAAAAATTTGCTCAAAATAGGCCATCAACCTTTGAGTTTCTCATGTAATGTAGTAAAGGAGTTTCTATATCGACGTTTTATCACCAGTCAAACATGCAAAACGCGTCTACTGTTAAATTCTGTTGCATTGAATTGCTGCACCTTATGTGAAACAAAAGTATTTTTTTATTTAAGTCATTCCACATCATGCATGAATAAATGTCATCTGAATACTAAAAATTATCTTTTCAATCAAAACCTTTGTCACAAATCTTTCAGGAGAACAGCTTATCACCTGTGTGAATTCTCATGTGTGTAGTCAAATTACTTTTTACATTAAAACTTTTGTCACAAATCGTGCAGGAATAAGGTTTCTCACCTGTGTGAATTCTCATGTGTCCAGTCAAACTACCCTTTAGAGCAAAACTTTTGTCACAAATCGTGCAGGAATAAGGTTTCTCACCTGTGTGAATTCTCATGTGATTATCAATATTATATTTCTGAGTGAAACTTTTTCCACAGGATAGACATTTAAAAGGCTTCTCACCTGTGTGAATTCGCATGTGTTTAGTCAAATTACTTTTTAGAGTAAAACTTTTGCCACAAATCGTGCAGGAAAAAGGCCTCTCACCTGTGTGAATTCTCATGTGTCTAGTCAAACCACTGTTTTCAGTAAACTTCTCGTTACAAATGGTACAGGAATATGGCTTCTCACCTGTGTGAGTTCTAATGTGAATAGTCCAATTTTTTTTTAGAGTAAAATTTATGCCACAAATCATGCAGGAAAAAGGCTTCTCACCTGTGTGAATTCTCATGTGTCCATTAAAAATTGATTTCTTACTGAAGCTTTTTCCACAGAGCAGACATTCAAAAGGCTTCTCACCTGTGTGTGTTCTGATGTGAGTAGTCAAATGTTGTTTTTGAGTAAAACTTTTGCCACAAATCATGCAGGAACATGGCTTCTCACCTGTGTGAATTCTGATGTGACTATCAAAATGAGATTTCTGAGTGAAGCTTTTTCCACAGGACAGACATTTAAAAGGCTTCTCACCTGTGTGTGTTCTAATGTGGTTAGTCAAATGATGTTTTTGAGTAAAACTTTTGCCACAAATCGTGCAGGAACAAGGTTTCTCACCAGTGTGAATTCTGATGTGACTATCAAGATTAGATTTCCTTGTGAACATTTTTCCACAAGGTAGACATTCATAAATCTTCTGACCTGCGTGAGTGTGAACTATAAAATATTCTTTTTTTAAACAGTTTTCTCCACATGTCAAACATGGGGAAGGCTTCTCTGCTGTATCTCGAGTCTCCTGCTGCAGAACAAGCTGCTCTTCCTGCTCACTAATGAGGACCTCCATGGTTTCCTCTTTTGTCCACGGATGTTTTGGCTCCATTTGCTCTTCTTTTATCTGCAGAGGTTCCAGTTCCTCATGGTCCAAACTAATATTCCTCTCCTGTTCACATAGCTGCTGGTCAGAGAAACCCTCCTCTTTTCCAACATAATCTTCCAGGTGGTCTGGAAAGACAAACACAGCAGAAAGAAGTTCTATTGTAAGTTAAATAAAGGACATTTAAGTTTAGTCCTCCTTGTGTTAGTCTAAATACAAATAAACAGACTGGAACTACATCTCCCAGCATGCACTTCAGCTCTGAAACCACAATCACATGTTTGAACCTTCACTTTTATCTTTAAGCATGTTTTTCTTTCATTTTCCCAGTAGACAAACCCAATCTTAGTTTTCCAGATACTTAAATTAATTTATGTTTTATTGCCATCTGAAATGTTAAAACATCATGCTAGCCTGGTTTCTGTAGCTAACTGTTAGCCTAATATTTGAGTGAACTTAAATAATTTTAATCGTGGGTGACCGAGAATCCTGTTAGGCAACCACTACCAAGTGTTTTGCATGATGAATATGATCCCCTCCATTTGTTTGTTTCTTTTTCTGCTGTAACAGTATAAATGAGAAGGGGAAATGTTGCGCTAAAGCTGCATCACAGATGACATGACAGATTAATGGTAAACCACCAGGAAGACAAAAACACTAAACAGAAGGCTGTAATTGTATTGTGAAATAGAACGTTGATCATGTAGAGTAATAAGTTTGTAAAAGAGTGAAACAGAAATGCTATGAAGTTTCATTTAAGTAGATACATTAAGGTATTTCTGTACATTTGGGGCTTAATTTGGGGACTTTTACCATTTTAAAAATCAGGTATTTTTACAATTTGTCCCACTAAGTTCTGATACAGCTAAAAAAAAATCATGATAATTTTACTCAGACAAACCACTTCTTGAATTAATACGAAGCACTCGTGGCATCAGCTTCCAGCTTCACTGGATCCCAAACATTAATTAAAAAATGCAACTAACCGGGTTAAATTATGTTAATTGTGCTTGACTTTTCATTTAGCCTCCTTTTCTCTTCCCATTTCTGATGAGTTTCTGTTCCTCAAAGGAGAAACATTGAGCTCTTCCTTCTGCGCTCATGGTTAGGATTGGTCTGCTACCTTGAACCAGCCATTTACACTACCATTCAAAAGTTTGGGGTCACATTGAAATGTCCTTATTTTTGAAGGAAAAGCACTGTACTTTACTACAGGCTACTGCGGGTACTATTTAATGAAGATGCAAGTTGGGGACCTGTGCGGCGTCTGTTTCTCAAACTAGAGACTAATGTACATACAGTGGGGCAAAAAAGTATTTAGTCAGCCACCAATAGTGCAAGTTCTCCCACTCAAAAAGATGAGAGAGGCCGGTAATTTTCATCATAGATATACCTCAACTTTGAGAGACAAAATGAGAAAGAAAAATCCAGAAAATCACATTGTCTGATTTTTAAAGAATTTTTTTGCAAAATATGGTGGAAAATAAGTATTTGGTCAGTTACATACAAGCAAGATTTCTGGCTCTCACAGACCTGTAACTTCTTCTGTAAGAGGCTCCTCTGTCCTCCACTCAATACCTTCATTAATGGCACCTGTTTGAACCCGTTATCAGTATAAAAGACACCTGTCCACAACCTCAAACAGTCACACTCTAAACTCCACCATGGCCAAAACTAGAGAGCTGTCAAAGGACACCCGAAACAAAATTATAGACCTGCACCAGGCTGGGAAGTCTGAATCTGCAATAGGTAAACAGCTTGGTGTGAAGAAATCAACTGTGGGATCGATTATTAGAAAATGGAAAACATACAAGACCACTGATAATCTTCCTCGATCTGGGGCTCCACGCAAGATCTCACCCCGTGGGGTCAAAATGATCACAAGAACGGTGAGTAAAAACACGGGGGGACCTAGTGAATGACCTGCAGAGAGCTGGGACCAAAGTAACAAAGGCTGCCATCAGTAACACACTACGCCGCCAGGGACTCAAATCCTGCAGTGCCAGACGTGTCCCCCTGCTTAAGCCAGTACATGTCAAGGCCCGTCTCAAGTTTGCTAGAGAGCATTTGGATGATCCAGACGATGACTGGGAGAATATCATATGGTCAGATGAAACCAAAATAGAACTTTTTGGTAAAAACTCTACTCATCGTGTTTGGAGGAGAGAGAATGCTGAGTTGCATCCAAAGAACACCATACCTACAGTGAAGCATGGGGGTGGAAAAATCATGCTTTGGGGCTGTTTTTCTACTAAGGGACCAGGACGACTGATCCGTGTGAAGGAAAGAATGAATGGGGCCATGTATCGTCAAATTTTGAGTGAAAACCTCCTTCCATTAGCAAGGGCATTGAAGATGAAACGTGGCTGGGTCTTTCAGCATTACAATGATCCCAAACACACCGCCCGGGTAACGAAGGAGTGGCTTCGTAAGCAGCATTTCAAGGTCCTGGAGTGGCCTAGCCATTCTCCAGATCTCAACCCCATAGAAAATCTTTGGAGGGAGTTGAAAGTCCGTGTTGCCCAGCGACAGCCCCAGAACATCACTGCTCTAGAGGAGATCTGCATGGAGGAATGGGCCAAAATACCAGCAACAGTGTGTGAAAACCTTGTGAAGACTTACAGAAAACGTTTGATCTCTGTCATTGCCAACAAAGGGTATATAACAAAGTATTGAGATGAACTTTTGTTATTGACCAAATACTTATTTTCCACCATATTTTGCAAATAAATTCTTTAAAAATCAGACAATGTGATTTTCTGGATTTTTTTTTCTCATTTTGTCTCTCATAGTTGAGGTATATCTATAATGAAAATTATTGGCCTCTCTCATCTTTTTAAGTGGGAGAACCTGCACTATAGGTGGCTGACTAAATACTTTTTTGCCCCACTGTATCTTCTTGCTCAGTTGTGTAACGTGGCCTCTCACTTCTTTTTCTACTCTGGTTAGAGCCTGTTTGTGCTGTCCTCTGAAGGGAGTAGTACACACTGTTGTAGGAAATCTTCAATTTGTTAGCAATTTCCCGCATGGAATAGCCTTCATTTCTAAGAACAAGAATAGACTGTCGAGTTTCAGATGAAAGTTCTCTTTTTCTGGCCATTTTGAGCGTTTAATTGACCCCACAAACGTGATGCTCCAGAAACTCAATCTGCTCAAAGGAAGGTCAGTTTTGTAGCTTCTGAAACGAGCTAAACTGTTTTCAGATGTGTGAACATGATTGCACAAGGGTTTTCTAATCATAAATTAGCCTTCTGAGTCAATGAGCAAACACATTGTACCATTAGAACACTGGAGTGATAGTTGCTGGAAATGGGCCTCTATACATCTATGTAGATATTGCACCAAAAACCAGACATTTGCAGCTAGAATAGTCATTTACTGTATTTCTTTAAAGTTCAAGACTAGTTTAAAGTCACCTTCATTGAAAAGTACAGTGCTTTTCCTTAAAAAATAAGGACATTTCAATGTGACCCCAAACTTTTGAATGGTAGTGTATATGTGCATGTTCACAGATTCTGGATTAGTTAAAGCTGGATTGAGTTAATGAGTTAATAATCATTTTGTTGCTATGTCTGATCCCTATTGCCACTGTTGTGGATTGGTTAAACTGGATTGGCCAGAAGCTAATGTGTTATGCCGAAAAGTGCATCCCTGCCTGAGATATGCATCCCCAGCCGCGGGAGCGTGCCTCGCTCTGTACAACTGCGACTATCAATGAGGAAAACGGATTAAAATATGACCAATATACTTGTTGTTATATTAATGATATAAAAACGCTTTAATATGTGGGGAAAAAAATTTGTGGTCATTTGGCAGATTAATGTACAAAAGTATGGATGTTATGAACAACATTAAATCCAAAGATTTTGTCCAGGGTACAGCTTTGACTTAAGCGGAAAATCAAACGCGCATCTACACAGCACAGCATTCACAGACCAGTGTGATGCATTCACGAGCGTCAGATAGCTATGGTGCATTCCGGAGCATGGGACTTTTCATACTTACAAGGAAAGAGGCATAAACAGAACAGAACATAACTCATACAATAATGTATTTATTCGGAAACAGTGTGGGCTTTCTTACAATACTAAATGCTCTATATGAAGACAGAGACCAACAAGACCTCCCTCATCCTTGGCCCTATCTCAAAGAATTTTTCGTAATAGTCTAAAAAATGTAGCTTTCAATTCATAAAGTGGCAACTTGCTGTTTTTTTTAAAGGTTACTTTATACTTTAAGTAGTTTTTGGAGTAGATACTTTTTCACTATTACTTGAGTAAAGAGGTCAAGATGATACTTCAACTTTTACCAGTGATTTTAAACTGCAGTATCTATACTTCTACTTAAGTAACAAATGTGTGTACTTTTGACACCACTGGGCAGAAGTGAGCTTGTAAAAACTAATCCATCCTCCACTAAGATTTTCTGAAACAACAAACAAAGCTTGACTGTTTTCGTCTGAAGGCTTTAGATATCATCCAGGATGACAATAGATAAATGATAAAGCCAGCTGATCCTTCTGAACCTTTTATTTCTCGTGGCTCTATAACATCTCAGTTGGGTTTCAATGATCACTCTGTGCTTTCTGATGTTTGTTGCATCTTGAGATCTATTAAGACTGTGTGGCTCTGAAACATCAGGAATCAAAGCAGTTCTGCACAGTGTAAAGGTGCAGGGATAATTGAAACAAACTGCAACATGCAATGTCACTGCAATAAAATGGATGTGTTTCCATCAGAGCGAATATTAAAAGCATTTTTAGTTCTTAAAGTTGAACACAGAATATTTCCAGTTTCTGTGAAGGAGCCCTGAAAAGCCACAGAAACATCTATACATTCCAGCTGTCACCACCAGCTGATCTAGAACACGGACTAGAAAGGCCTGGTCACACTGGTTGGGCACCACTTTTTAATCACGGATCTGATTTTTTCCGTGTCACATTGACAGCGTATAGAGAAGCTCTGACTGCGCAGGGTTGTGCTGATTTTTTCCCCCCAAACTTCTGTCTCTGTACCACACAATTTGAAAAAAAAATCCCACATTTAACTTTGGACATATTATGGGATGTTATTGGGGGGTGGGGTGGGGGGTGGGGGGGGGGGGGGGGGACCAAGTG